AAACAAAAGATCTAATTGGAAGAACAATAGCCCAGCACGTGCGTTTTAAAACTTTGTTCATTTCTTAGCCGCCCTTTGCAAAACAACAACGTGAAATCACCAAAATTTGCGTCGTCTGCGAACCGAAACCGCGACGGCAAATTATTTTAATTTCCATTTGGCCCTCAACCCTACTTTCACGCGTTATGTTGAGTTTGAGGTCTGGCGCCCTATGAGACGGTAAACACATGCAGTCATTTTCGAAATTCTAACTAAAAGTAAAAATTAATTTTTTAATCGACGTCTTCCGTGGCATTGCCGTCCTGACTGCGTAAGGTCCCTACTGTGAGAGTGAAGTGTCTTGCCTAAGAACACAACAAGATGTTGCTGGCCGGGGCTTGAACAATGACCACTTGATCCAGAGTCAAGAGCACCAACCATGAGGCCACCGTGCCTCCATAATTGTCCGCTTAATATTGTGTTGATATTGCAATGAGGAATTCTGTCTCAATCACTTACTGGGGGTGAAGGGTTAACAGCAATTTACAGCAGGTTTAAAGATAAAAAGGAAAGATCAATGATCTACCCTTGATTCTGGGTTGCTACATGGTACATTGTACATGTACAACTGCAACAATAAAATACCTGTTTGTCAGCAGGGACATTGTAACAACCCAAGAGCTGTTCCATAACCTCTCCAGGATTCTCTGAAAACTAGTGAATATGGTAGCAAAGGATAACATTATTATACATGTTTGAAAACAAGCACAATTTTCCTAGAAAGCTCATAACAACAGTAAAATAATGGTTTCAACCCAAAGGTAACAGTCACTGTGGAAGATGCACATCATCAGACTATGTAGGACGGGGATGTGAAAAATTCACATTATATATCCTGGGCATTCAAACAAGTCTTTTTATAAGTATAATGTAGTACCTGGTAAAGTTGCTGGACATGCACAGAAGTCAACTGGCTACCTGGGGTTTGTGCCTGTTGAGTGAATAAAGAACACAATTATCTTAAATAGTATCAAAAGTCTAGCAAAGGAAGGCGAGACATATTCTAGAACTGGCACTATTATCAAATGCATTTTAAGGAAAAAGATCTTGTTTGTCACAGGAACACATTGCACTGCACAGCTGACCTCAAAGCATCAAAGAGTAGATCAATCATACATGTATCCTTTCTTTACCTGTGAATCAAGCTGTGAAGTGCTGGGGTTATTATTGTAGTACTCAAAATAAACATCAGCACAGCTAGCAGGAAAATCCTAACCAAACATAAATTCAGAAGTAGTGAGTTAATAAACAAACATGGTTATGTAACATCATAGTATCACGTCCATATTGCAGGTTTCAAGCCTAATCTAAAGCAAAACTAGCTCACAAATCACAAGAAAATCACACATGTCGAATTGTTTCAGAAACAAAGATTATAAGGGGGAGATTCACACTGCTCAAAATCACTTGTATTCTACAGCTCAAGATGTGTTTCACAAATTTACCTTTAAGGGTAAATCCTCACAACAGTGGGCCAGACTGAAGCCTGCATTCTTGCCTCCCCATGTCTAAGGATAATACAATGATCATGTTAATATCAAGAGTAATAAACTGACAAAGTGTTGCTCTCACAATAATTAAATAGCAAAGTAAGGTTTGATAAGCAACTGTTTGGAACTCCTGGTAGATCTTCTGACTGGAGGTTATCCTAATTTTAGTGGTATAAAGTGACTAAGGATATTATTACTCCAACCTGGGGCCCATTTCTCAAGAGTCTTGTTAATTTACTAAGACTTTCAAGAAATGGGCCCCAGGATGGGATGTCAGTCCATTGCAGGTTACATGTAAACCCAGGATTTTGGCAGATGTTCCAGACAGTTCAACATAACCCATTCAGGGTTGGTACACTTTTGACCTGTTAAAATTCCATGACTTTCCATGACTTTTTCCATGACCTTTTAAAAGATTCCATAACCTGCTTGCAAACATTCTTGCAATGCATGCTGCTGTTTAATTTCTAATGAAATTAAAACTGATTTTTGGACTTATCAGTTAACTTTTAACTGAGAATCTGGTATTGGATCAACTAATAATCTCCTAATTTATTTTTTTTTTAATTCTCATCACTTATCTGTTTGGTATTGTATTGCTATTGTGGGGAGAAAATTAATTCTATCTTGATCACTCGTGAAAGTTGGAAGGGTTAAACCTCAAGTCCAGCAGGCTACAATGGCTCTGGATCCTCACAACTGTTGGGAATTAAACGCTACTGGAGAGCTGGAAGTGTTCAAATTTCTCTCGGCAATCAGAAAATTTAGCATTTGATAGTGAAGGGATTATTTAATGATAAAATATTCAGTTAGGTTACTTGCCTCTCCCAGGCATTGAAGACGCTGTTGAATCGCTTTCCTTTTATCAGCGGGTAACCGCGGTATGAAGCTAGATCTTTTGCTGTTGACAACAAAAACTTACGTAAATACAAGTACTATAGAAAAAGCATAATATTTTTAAGTGCTAGCTCTACTAGAAAATAATAAAATTAATAGTTGTATGGAAAACAATTCTGATTGCAACCTGTCAAGCTTTTTCCCCTTAGTCCTCCAATCTCCCATCCTTGCCCTAACACTCTGGCCCTACACTGATGTTATCCTTAAGGTACTGCCATGAGGTTGTCACCTCCACAATTTCTTTAGACACCTAAGTTTCATCAACATGTACAATAACAGTAAGATATATAACATACCTAAAAACATAAAGTACCCCAAGAACTGACAGAACAACTTCCATGTCACTTGCAACCAACAGTGAAACCAGATGCTAAAAGTAAAAAGAATTGAACAGTTTTCATATTTCTAGGCTTAGAATTAAACGCTTACATTTTTTTAAATCTTCAAACTTAAAACCCACTGTAGTTACACATTGGAAAATGATAACTGTGGTAACAAAGGCTTGTTAAACAGCAGATAAAGTGAAAAGAGAACTGTTACAAAATACATTTTCCACTGGTTGAGCAAAATGAAAAAAGTGGAGATTATTCTAGCATACTGCTATAGCCTGAGATCAGGTTATGGGCATTGCCTTTTTGTAACTTCTGGCATTCCAGGCCTTTCCCTGCACACCCAGCCAATAAAAAAGATTTCATGATGTATTATATCATCCTTAGTCAGGGCTCGACACTAACTTTTCAACTTACTAGTCAAGTGACGATTGACAACTTAAATGTTACAAGAATTTCAGTTTGTTTATAAGCCAAACTGGCTGGTGGAAATCAAAAACCGCTGGCCAATTTCTACTAGTCTATGGCTAGCTGACTACTGTTAATGTCGAACTTTGCTTAGTCCTAGAATATTAATGGTACCAAATGGCTATGTAATAGTGTGCAGGTATAGTTTGTATGACTTTGCCATATGGGTCAGATTGTGTTCTTCAGCCTAGCATTCAGCAGTTGCTAAGGGAGTATCAGGAAAATAGTTACCTCTGATGAGCTATAGAGATGTCTTGTATATGAGTGTTCCAACACAAGAGCCGTGAATCTCAACACATGGTTTACCAAGCACCTACGTTCAATCTAAAAATAAACAATATTAATGAATCAATCAAATGACAAATCCTCTAAAACTTAATGAACAAAACTTGTTGAATTACTCTATGCTTCATTTGTTTTGCAGAATTTAAACTGATCTAAATGCAAGTCTCAGTCTAATACAAGAGAGATAAAAAAGTGTCCCAGGAACTTGAAATTTCTCTACAAAATCACTATCAACTACCAAGGTAAGAGGGCTAATTTTTAGTAAAGCATTATAGTAAACATGTATTTCACTTTTTCAAGTTACAAAACTTACTGCTATATCTGGTCCCTCAAGTTGATCCAACTTGTCATAAGCTAGGATCCAAGAGCTGCCATTCACTGGTTTAGCAACACTGGCTAAGATTTCATCAAACTTGTCCATAACATCAACCCAGTGTTGAAGCTCGCACTAAACAAAACAGAGTAATAATTTTCAAAAAATTGCTTTTTCCTTTGTCAAGAGTACGTAAGGGACAAGGAAAAATCCAACGTGAGCTAACAGGAATCCAACGCTGTGCTTGGGATTTTTCAGTTTAATGCTCTGCTGCTGTAGGGGTTCCAATAAAAGCCAGTTACTGGCAGACTGCAGCTGCCAGTAAAACATCTTACTACTGTCTGTTCAGCCTTCCAGGAAGCTCTCGTGTTTGCGTTTTAGTCTTACAGCAATGCAACATGCATGTGTGTTACATGATAGCTTTCTTCATTAAATAAATTTTCTGTTGTCAATTCATCCCTTTTTCAAACCGAAACATTCTTTGTTTTACTCAACAGTGTATCACAAAGGAAACTTATAGCACTGAATATTATGGACACATAAAAATCACATATACACATCTGACTACTTTGCATCTGATGTATAAAATGCATCTGCATACACAACCTATATCTGAGCAGTACTGTGTTACAACACCTGCAGCTGCTCACAAAAAAAAAATATCCAAACCATTGCCACTGTACTGCAGAAACCTCTTGAAGACATTAGCTATATACTACATTTCTACACATTAAGTGTTCTGCAAAGTGATAACTTCAGCTATATCAAAGCATCATAGGCAAAAATAGAATATGAATGATTGGTTATTTCTTTAACCATTTTGACTAATTGATACAAAACAATCGTTACGATTAAAAAATAATTAATATATAAGTAGTAGCTTTTAGAGTCGATAACTTCTACAACTATTTCAAAGCAAGCTACAAATGTAACAATCCATCAAAGACATAATAACAACACTTTGACAACAATTAAAAAAAAAACAGTGCTTTGAATGTCTACATGTTATTACACATATCAGTACTACTGAATTTTCTTTATGAAACTCTTTAACCATAAAAAGTGATGAACATCTTAAACTCAAGAGGGTCTTGATCGTCAGACAATATCTCCTTGTAAGTGCCATAGGAAAGGTAAAAAGAACAGAATGGAGAACTTGATTACAGTCAAACCTCGATTATGCAGACTTGTTGGGACTAGATAAAATAGCCCAGACAATCTAGGGTCCAGATAATCGAGAATATGAACATTAACGAGGAACAAAAACTGATTAAGTTAAGAAAGCGACATTTAATTCTGAAACAAAACATTTACAAATTGTTTTGAAAAAGATATGGTCTATATCTTCACTTCCCTGTGTGAATAGCTCAACATTTGTGTATTAACAATTAAAATTAACGAAAAATGTTTTTAGAATTTAAAGTCAGTCAGTTTGTCTTAGTGAAGAACATCACCTTTATTTCACTTTTCAACACTTGAGTTTTAAAAATAATATGGCCATGGATCTTCATCATGGTTCATAAATATTCATGAAAACATTGGGACCAGAGAAAAAGTTCGGATAATTGAGAAATCCAGATAATTGAGGTCCAGATAATCAAGGTTTAACTGTACTAATGTTAGTGCATAAAGAGTTAAAGCTAAGGAGAGGTTAGATATCATACCAGAAAGAAATGAAATTTGTTTTTTTCAACCAGACAAATACAGAGAAGTTAAAACTTGTAAGTGAATTGAGGAAACTTTAATAACCAAAAAGACCGAAAAGAAAATATTGGCTCAACTTTTTGCAAAGTCATTTACATTCACATCTCAAAGCTTTACAACAATTCTTGTTTGAAATATGACCCTGACGTTGTTGTCTGCACTTATTTATGGTTAGACTCTTTAATGATAGAAATCCACAAAAATGGAAGTAATTAGAAGATGGGAACTAACTTTCACAAGAACCACAGTGAATTATACAGTGATTATAAATTGTGGTATATTAAATGTCCTTAAGTCATCAATCAAGTGCTTATCAAATCAATAGTCTTAGCTTTGCAACTATAAGACGTTAACCTCAGTCAAAAGTTAATTCTACACATTTTCAAACACAATAACATACGTTGTTTCTAGAAGGAAAAAAATAACTTATCGATCTATTCATCTGACTTTTAAAGCTATACTCGTTGTAACAGTACTATTTTACAAGTAGCAATGAAAATATTAAAAATACATTGAATTTCCTGTCATGATGACGAGGGACTTAACCCTAGGTTTGCCTAACGGTAATTTCGAGCAATACAAAAATTAAGCAAACTCATAGATTGGAATATTTAAATGATGATTACAACATTCAAATAATAACAATATAAAAAAGTACAAGGGATAAATTTAATATCTGTGTACCTTTCCATAGTACCAAGTATTGATGTCTTGGAGAATACGTATTAACTCGCTATCGCTGGCTTCCTTCAATCTTTGAATAAGTTGTTTGCATTCAGGTGCCTGTTCATAAAAAAACTACGTCAGTAAAGTACTAGAATATAGCATTAGTGCAGTTTACTATACATAAAGGGCCTTCTGTTCTCATGGCCTGCGAAGTACATACAAGTTTTCTGAGCTTATATTATACATCGAGTTCAGTTTCTCATAAAGGACTTCACGGAAAATGATACACACTCGCAATTCTACAACACTTACCACGTCGGACTGCGTTTTGCGCAGTTTACTTCTGTCAATCTTCATTTTCCAAGCATAAATATTAGCTTAAGTTTATTTCTTTTGCCAATCTACCACGCTGCATCACCACAAACTAAGGGGAAACTTCTGTCCAAAAACATACAAAAATTCTATGATTCTTCGAAAACCGTGAGTTTTACAGCCACGATGACTAAGCACAATTGTAAGGGTCTTTCAGTGCTCTGCGACTTAATCCTTGATTCTATTTTCTTAACGTGCCTTGTAAAAATGGGCCAAACACCGCGCTAAATATCACATAATTTGAACCGTTTTTGGCTTTATACGAATGAAGTGATTCATTCAATATGGCCGACAATAATGGCGTGCGCGTACACATCGCAACGAGGCTCGTCGCCTGGGCCTGAAATAACCCACAAAGCCTTGCGTTTTCGCTTCAAAATAGCGGATTTTCCTCGAACTTTCAGCGTGGATAGTACGTTATGCACGTACGCGTCCTAAAGTCCACCGAACGAGTCGTGCTTTATATAATGACTCGGATCTGGAGATGCTCCACGTTTTCAAAGCCAGATATGCTTTTCGTTGTCGTTATCCCTTGATTTTTATGTGTATTTTGTTGTTGTTTGTGTTTTTGCTGTTGTTTTCCCGCTTTTTAGAGAAGAGTTTAATGCATTTTTGACACTATAAACTCTAACATCAGCATAAACATTCTCCATACTGTTTTTTCTACATTTCTTAAGATGCCGACAAAGAGAATTTGTTAATCAGTCAAAATCCTGTAAAGTCAGTCCTTTATTCTCCTTGTCCCAGTCCGTTCGATAGCCGATAAGCTCTAACCCAGGGTTAAATTGTAATCCATGTTTTTATATTTCTCTATCATATAAGGGGTAAAATTACTGGATTGTGATTGGTCAAGTCAGAGGGCATTTTTTCTTAATTTTTGTAATTGCCCCGGGCAAAATTACTAGAAAATGATTGGCTGAAAATCGCATAGCAACGGCTGCCAAGGTAAAGAAATTTCTGTTTGTTTTGTAACAATGGCGTCCCGTTTTGCGCGAGATCAGTAAGAAAACATTTTGCCTCTTATATTATAAACAAGTAATCACATGGTTCCTCGTAAAATTAAGGATTAATATCACGCGTGTTTTCTGAAGTTGCTGAAATTGCCCCATGCGATTACCTATACCTATTCAAAAGCCGTTTAAGAATAATTTTCCCAATTCTTTGAGAGCATTCAAACATAAAATCGTGGGCAAATTGAAATAGACTGAATTTTCTTTTTAAAGCTTTCAAATCTGAAATTAAATTTCACACTAACCCTGGGCTATCTTAACCCGGCTTTGAACCAACCCGCCGTGGCCCTTTTGATACGTGATTCAGAAGATATAATATTGTAAGAATTAAAATGCTAGTAAGTCTTAAAAAGGGTTAATCCCTTGCAGACTTGTTCTACATCATAGCTACATTGTCCACTAAATAG